ATTTTTTCGAGCTGGGGCTTCATCTCGGGTGTTTATGTCTTACGATATATTTTTTACCAAAGGGTTTGATGTTCGTCCCCAGAATGATAATATTGCCTGCTCTCTTTTAAGTTTCAATGGGAGTTCTCCCGTTTCAACTTGCAGTGCTTCAAGTGAAGTACCTGTTGCTGCACCTGTAGCTAGCATTAGCCTTGTATTGTATTCCGTCGAGGCGACTCAGGACAGTATTTGATGCTGAGTGAAAGGCCTCACAACCATTATTGTTCTAAAAAGAAATGTGTAGATGTCTAGCTGAGTCTCCCTAGAAGTGCCCCAAGATGTGCCTGAAATAGCCCCTAATATGTTCAGGTCGTCTTGGAATCTGCTTTCTACATATTCTATATGTTTGCTCCAAGTATGGTGTTGATCTAGGATCAGCCCTAGAAATATTGCGGATTTTATTTGATTGGATAAGATAAGAGTTTGGTAGGGCTTCGTCTTTCCCTTGCTTTAGAAGCGGGATAACTGCAGCATGTTTCCATACATTTGGGACTTCTCCTTTGGACCATATAGTGTGGTACATCTCGGTGAGTAAGCTCTTTGTTTGATCAGATAGGTTTTTCAATATCTCGTCACTCGTTGTGTCCAGATCAGGTGCAGTGCATTTCCTATGTTGTACTGCATCATTAAGCTCTATCACAGTAAATAGTATATTGTATACCAGATACTTTCTTTGCGGCTGTTTTGATATCTTAGCCATAAGCATGTTTTACTGTTTAAATTCTTTGCTGCAATTTCCGTTGCTGCTGACAGATAATAAGTGCTCAGCAAGAGTGTTGGTCTTTTCTTTGGCTGTATGGGCGTTGGCTAACTTGGAATATTTTTGTAGGTTTACGCTTACCCCTAATTGCGTGTATTTTGCACCAGACTGTTTTACTTTTGTCCTGGCTGCTCGGACTTGGGCGAAGGCTGATTAATTTTTTTTTCCCTGTTATGGGTTTTCATTTTCATTCTCCTTGTGTTTACCATTTCCCTGTTCCATCATAGTACCGTAGTTTTTTTGGCTTTTTTGGAACTGATTTCTCAGCTTTGGCAATTTCAGAGTATTTGAATGCTATACATTCCTTCCTGAATTAGGGATAGTCAGCCCCTGGAGTCTGCAAGTCAGGTCAGGTGGTGACGGTACAGGAAACGCAAGGGGTAATTGTTAATCTACATATGTGAATTATCATGTCATTGATGTATACTGAACAATAAAAGTTCCTGTGACATTGAATAAGATTTAATGCAAAGTAATGTTTTTTACCAAATCTGAAAAAAATTCGGTTTGCAACAGATAAAAGACTCCCTTAAGTGTTCAAATGGTTTAATACGCCATACTGACTTCAGAAAATGCGTGATTTCATTAAAATGAAAAAATGTCAATTTACAAATCAATAGCGTGTGACCACCTCTGGTTGCAATGCAAGCAACACATCTTCGTCTCGTGGAATGGACCAGGCGTCGCACAAAGTCCTGTCCATATCTGCTGGAGCATGTTTCGAAGTCACTGGAGTGTCTGTGGAACACGTGGTTGACTTCGAAGGCGCCGATTTATCTCATGCCACATGAGCTCGATTGCTGTAATCCCACCCAATACCATAACGCTGCCGCCACCGAACCAATCTTCTTCCATGACACAATGATTGACGTGAGGTTCACCTCGACGTTGGTACACTCGTATTCGTCCATTGCTGTGGCTGAGGTGAAAACGAGACTCATCAGTGAATAGAACTTGTTCCCACTGCATGCCCGTACAGCATAGACGATGTCTGCACCACTGTAGACATGCTTGACGGTGGTTTCCTGTCAAAATGGGACGTCTGGCGGGTCTTCTGGCGACAACCCCTGCACATCTGAGGCGGCGACGTATGGTTTGTGAAGATATTCGTCGAAGGCCCGGGATGCTTCATGCAGTCACTGTTGTTGGCTGAAATCGATTTCGTTGGTGTGTTGTTCGAATCCAGTTGTCTTGTAGATTATTGGTTACGCGTGGCATGCCACTCCGAGGATGGTCTCTGACTGCATTCGTCTGTTGCCAACGTTGCCATAAACACCAAATGGTGTTTCTGTGGACGTTAAATTGTCTTGCATCATGTTGACTCGATCCTGTTTCAAGCATACCAATGGCTCGCAGACGCTCATTTTCGGACAGGCGTGGCATATCGTAATGTTGAATAATTGCATAAAATTGTTGTTTTTCTGAGTGGTTGTTGTCAGCACGATGCTAAAAAAGGCATATGGAATCCCGTCAACACACATGTTTTTATACCCATTCTTTGGTAATGAAATGCATGGGGCTTGCATAAAAATCAACTTTTGCATAGAATGCATGCTTTTCTGTAGCAGTTGCGTTTTTGTGACTTGATTCCATACATGTACTGCATATTATGAGCCAGCGGCCTGTTACTCAAGTACATTGTCTGTCTGTATCTATCGTTTCTTGGTCCTTTTATTGTCTGTAAATCCATATACTGATATGTTTTCATTTGGTGTGATCTAAAACGGTAAAAACCTGTGTTTACTTTGAGCGGCCGCTTCCAAAGGTTGTTGGCAGTGTAATTGACAGCAAATCGTGAACAATTAGCCTCACAGTGTCTCATGTAGCCTGTCAAATGTATTCATTAAATATATATGTTCAAGTTATTACCTAGTCGTATTTAAGTTTATCTTACAAAATTTCTTCTTTGAAAATTTGAAACGACTTTGTTTGTTGCAAACAGCAATATGTACGTTTATTGACATTTGGTTCTCACAGCCAAACGTTCGTTTGTTCGTGGCGTGAAGTAGGTCGAGGTGACATTAACTGGAATAATTCCAATACTCAACGTTGAGACACAGGGAATATGAAACCTGTTCTTCAATGTGTTTGTGTTGTTGCCAAGGAACCAGGTGGTGTTTGTCAAGCCTGTTGTTCAATATACGACACTATTATAGTGATGTACTCGTTTCCCAGGTTATAATGATTTTGTGGGCCTGAATGATGTTTAAAGCTTAAAAGGAAATAGTCAAAATAGATTGGATCGATTTGGAATTCAATGGTGATGTATGGAATGCACAGTGTGTGTCGGGTGTAAAACTTTTGTGTCAATGTTTCAGCAATGATTAATAGATTGTAACTGGCAGACTCTTCACGCTTCTATGTTTGATTCTGGGAAACTGTGATATTATTCCAACTTTAAAACTACTGTCTGTGCTGAATATTAGATAACTGCGTTTATGAGTAGAGAAATAAGACGATATTGATGCTTATTACGGTTAAGTGAGTAACCATTACGATGTAATACAGGGAGACGAGATGGATTAGATTATTCAGTAAGACTTTGAAAACATTGTAATACTGGTGAAATAGATGATTAACTACATTTTCTGATTAGCTGCCCTGCATTTAATTAGTTACGAAGTAATCATTTATGATTTTTACAAACTGAATATGAAATTGAACGTAATTAAACTAATTTTATGAACACAAGAAGTACCACATGGTTGAAGAAGCTTGTAACATTTATCAGGAAAAGTTTATATTCTGAACAATAATACTATGTAACATTTGTCTCTTGTCACAATGTAAATCTATCTTACATATGATTATGTTCTTGGGCCTCTTGCCTTATTACTATGAATAAACCATTAATAATAATGATTTGGAATAATTCTCGTAGGAGGATTAGTTTCAGTTCGCTTCTATTAGATGATACAGACATTATAACAACAAACATTACATCACATCACATCACATTTCCAAGGTATGGAAGTCCTGACAGTGTTGCAAAGCAAGACAGGAAAATTATTTCTGTTATTGAAGAGTGTTATTATCACAGAGTAACTTGATAACACTCAAATTAAAACTTAATTTCTATATTTTGAAAATATATGTCCCTACACGCTCTGAATAAGTTAGATCAAATAAGATAAAAAATAACGTGTTATAGGTTATGCTGATTCATACAAATGTAAAACGCACATCCTCCAACCGCATCCATATCCCGTATCCACCAATCCCGCCATCCACATACCACATCCTCCACCACCACCGCATCCCCATCCTCCAACCTCTCCCACATACCCTATCCCCTAACCCCACCCACATCACTGATCCTCCAACCAGACCCACCCCACCGGTTATCTATCATCCTCTAACCCCAGCCACATCTGTCATCCTGCAACCCCACACACATGCCTCACATACAAGCAGCCGCACAGAGACAGAGCGAGAGAGGGGGAGAGAGAGATACGAAGAGGGAGGGAGAGAGAGGGAGGGAGAGAGAGAGAGAGAGGGAGAGAGAGGGGAGGAAGAGAGAGGGGAGAGAGGGAGAGAGAGGGAGGGAGAGAGAGAGGGAGAGAGAGGGGGAGGAAGAGAGAGAGGGAGAGGGAGAGAGGGGGAGATAGAGAGGGAGACATAGGGAGGAAGAGAGAGAGGGAGAGAGAGGGGAAGAGAGAAAGGGAGAGAGAGGGGGAGGGAGAGAGAGAGGGAGAGAGGGAGGGAGAGATAGGGGAGGAAGAGAGAGACAGGGAGAGAGAGGGGGAAGAGAGAAAAGGAGAGAGAGGGGAAGAGAGAAGGGGAGGGAGAGAGAGAGAGGGAGAGAGGGAGAGGGAGGGAGAGAGAGGGAGGAAGGGAGAGAGAGAGAGGGAGGGAGAGGGGGAGGGAGAGGGAGAGGGAGAGAGAGGTGGAGAGAGAGAGGGAGAGAGACACAGAGAGAGGGAGAGAGAGAGAGGGAGAGAGAGGGGGAGGGAGAGGGGGTGGGAGAGGGGAGGGAGAGAGAGGGAGAGAGAGAGGGAAGGAGAGATAGGGGAGAGAGAGAGGGGGGAGAGAGGGAGAGAGAGACAGAGTGGGAGAGAGGGGAGAGAGAGGGGGAGGGAGAGAGAGGGTGGAGGGACAGAGAGGAGAGAGAGAGAGAGGGAGGAAGAGAGAGGGAGGGAGAGTGAGAGAGAGACGCACACATATGCAAACACACACTGGAATTTACAGGGGAACAAATTCGTCATCAACAATTGACAATACAACTCTCAAGCATCGATTAGCAAACAATCATTGCGAGTTGATGTTTTGGAATAAGGTATTCCAGGCTTCCAACTGCCCCGACATGTTTTGCAAGAATCAATAGAGCAGCAGAGGACGGAGCAGACAACGGGTAAACAGCAGACGATAACTGAACCTCAACAAAGTTAGTCAGAGTTTCAAGGATACAGGGTACAAACAATTGTTTGGGACATACATCCTGACATCCTTTCTGTGGCAATTCACCAAGTACCTCAAAGGGACCTATTAATAACCAGAGCCGAGAATCATATGTGGTTTGTTCTTCAGATAAAGGAATGCTGGGAAATACAAGGAGATCGTCACAAGGTGAGACTTGTTTGTAACCTATATGTGATAATATTCAACAATAATATTCTTCAGTTATTCTTTGAAGTTTCTCTTCCTATAATGTCGGTGTGATGCTCCCAAAAGAAAGGTTGCTTCCTTAACTGCCCAGTCTTGTGGGTGCCGTATGCAGACCTAAGGGGCCTCTGTAGAGGAATTTACGCTTGGCATTGTCTCTATGTGTCTGTATGTTCATTTGTCTGTGGAACCCGCGATTAGACAGTGGATCTGTGAAGATCCGTGTTGGAATAGGTCTTCAGCAACCTGTGCTTGTCTATGATTATCGTAAGAGGCGACTAACGGGATCGAGTGGTCAGGTTCGCTGACTTGGTTCATGCAAGTCATCGTATCCCATTTGCGTGTATCAATGTTTTTATGTCAATCACTTGATTGCAGAGTTTGTCGTTGAACAACAAACAAACAAACAAAAAGTTTTCATTGCTATAAGTTGGATTGTAATACTATCCCCTTTTCTTCACAGACAAACAAATTATTATAGTAAATGCAAAATATTTGGCACAAATACAACGCGAAAATCGAAAACGCAAAATGTCTATCCAATAGGTGAAATTCCAGATATGGAAAATACGTTCGATTCTTGTCTGTCCAGCCAGCACAGGTGTAAACTGTCTCTCTTCAAGGCTGAGAAACACAGGCAGAGATGTGTTGTGAAAAGTCAGTCCAAGTCCCACATACTATCTAATTCTGAAATGTTTGTTATGATGTTAGCGCTTGAACATGTAACAAGTCAACACTTACTGAATTATCCAGACCTGGGTACAAAGACTTTTTTTCAGTGGCAATGACATCTGTTCATGTTTACTTCTCGAGAAAATGGAGAATGTCTTCATCAGATTTTCAAACAGTATTTAGTCCTCCATCACGGGGCTAATGTGGAGCACTCTTGCAAATAATCCATTAAACCTACAAGTTCTGCTAGCGCAAACTAAGAGATTACGCTAATTAGCTAATTGACCAAACTAGAGAAAACTCATTGCAAAATGACTGGGTTTGGGCAGAGAGTCACCCATTCTTCGGGATAGCCCAAAACTTTTCCGTTATCCGTGTTGGCAGTTCCTTAAATGACGCACAAGCTATGTATACAGTATAAAAGTGTCCGTTTGCATGGGTGTCTTTGAAAGTGGGTGTTTAAGCGTGTGACAGAGTTTCCAGATGTAGGGACGGACCCTAAATGTTAAATGTTGATTTCCCTTGGGGTTGAAGTTACCTTTACGGTGGTGACTAATAAATCACATGGGACTTTATTACACCTTATAGTTATGGACTTTTTACTTAAACGTGATAACGGATTAAACTTTTGTTTCCAACATCAATGTCCCAACTGAAGTTCAGAAATCAGCGTGGCCGTCCATCTGTGCATATAATCGTAGAAGCGGGTTACATAACATGTTCTTTGATCCGATGTCTGTTGATCTCTTGGTTCCCACCACATCACCTACTTTAGAGATCACCCTCTCTACAGATCATCTATTGCATAGATCGCCTATTAAAAAGAGCACCTACTGCTCAGATCACCTAATGCTCAGATGGCCTATTCCAAAGATCACCTATTGCTCACATCACCTACTGCACAAATCGTGTATTCCAAAGATCACCTTTTGCTCAGATCACCTATTGCACAGATCACCTATTCCCAAGATCACCTATTGCTCAGATCACCTATTGTCTCAGATCAAATATTCCCCAAATTACCTATTGCTAAGATCAGCTATTGCCAAGATCATCTTTTCCTCAGATCACCTATTGCTCAGGTAACCTACTTTACAGATCACCTATTGCCCAGATCACCTATTGCTCAGAACACCTTTTGCTCAGATCACTTATTCCTCAGGTCACCTATTGCTCAGATCCCCTATTGCTCAGGTCAACATTTGCCCAAATCACCTAATGCTCAGGTCACCTAGTCCCCAGATCACCTATTGCTCAGGTCACCTTTTGCCCAGATCACCTTTTGCTCAGATCCCCTGTTGCTTAGGTCACCTATTGCCCAGATCCCCTATTGCTCAGGTCACCTATTGCTCAGATCCCCTATTCCTCAGGTCACCTATTCCAAAGATTACCTTTTGCTCAGGTCAGCTATTGCCCAGATTACATAATGCTCAGGTCACCTATTGCTCAGATCCCCTATTGCTCAGGTCACCTATTGCCCAGATCACATATTGCTCAGGACACCTATTGCTCAGATCACCTATTGCTCAGGTTAGCTATTGCCAAGATCACCTTTTGCTCAGAACACCTATAGCTAAGATCACCTATTCCCCAGATCACCTATTGCTCAGGTCACCTATTGCCAAGATCACCTATTGCTCAGACCACCTATAGCTAATATCACCTATTGCCCAGATCACCTATCGCTCGGATCACCTATTCCTCTGGTCACCCATTGCTCAGATCACGTATTGCTCAGATAACATACTTTAGAGTTCACCTATTGCCCATATCGGTTATTGCTCAGATCACCTATAGCTCAGATCACCTCTTGGCCATATCAACTATTGCTCATGTCACCTATTCCTCAGGTCACCTATAGGTCAAGTCACCTACTTTACAAATCAAATATTGCTCAGATCACCTATTGATCAGATCACCTATTGCTCGGGTCACCTATTCCTCAGGTATCCTCTTGCTCAGATCACTTATTGCTTAGATCACATATTGCTCAGATCACCTATAGCTCAGATCATCTATTCCCCAGGTCACCTATTGCTCAGATAACCTACTTTACAGATCACCTATTCCCCAGATCACCTATTGCTCAGGTCACCTTTTGCCAAGATCACCTATTTTCTCAGCTGACCTATTGCTCAGATCACCTATTGTTCACATCACCTGTTGCTAAGATCACCTATTGCTAAGATCGCCTATTGCCAAGATCACCTACTTTACAGATCACCTATTGCTCAGATCACCCATTACTGCTTGAGTTAATCAAAGCCGACAATACTTGCACAGAACTGGCATATTTACATTGGAAGTGTCCTTATTGAGCACATTAGGGTGCCAGCACTATGACTGCTCTATGCCTAGTTGATTTATGCTTTGTTTTATTGCATTGTATGCACCGGTATACTCTTCACTACATGACTTGACTTTTCATAGGGTCATTGTCTATTAGAAATGCGGGTACTACTCAAGGTTTGCTGAAGATCAGGTTTTGTTGATATGTAAAAATTGAAATACACTTGTACACAACGATTTGGAAGCATCCTTCAATGAATATTAACTGCAATCTATGCGGTAGACTCGTAAGTGGTTGTTCGTTCCAAGCTAGCGCAGAATAGCAGGACTGAAAACAACAGGTATACTGTTGACGTCTTGCTTTGAGCTACCATCCTACAGGCATATGATGCAGCAGGATTGCAGCACCCTCACGCAACCCGCAATGATATCCGGGTGAATGTGCCCATCGACGTAACTGTACTGTCGCACCCATTATGAACGGAAATCTAAGGATGTGTTCGGCCGCAACTAACTGTGGGACGTGGCATTCGAGGGCGTGTCGTGGGGACACAGGGCTTATGATATGTGACCTCGGAAGTACGATAATACTAGCTTCTCATTACTCCAGCATTTTTGATGCTACTGGGACGTGAAAAAAAAAATAAAGTCATATAAGATATTTGACAATGTGGGTTGGCGGTGCAAGCTTGTACTTGAGAGGACGTTGCTGCTTTCTCAGAACAGAAGAGTGACGTTTGAACTGGCTGAGAAAGCGAGTGGGCATGCAGGTTCGGTCAAGCGTTTTGGACTTTGTTTGCAAACAGTTTCTTCAAGATGATGTTAGTGAAGTTAATGCAGTAACAAAGAATCATTGTGTTTTATCAGTGTGAAATATAAAGAATTGTATATCCTAATTGAATTGCGAAACCTTGTCTGCTCGATAAATACCTGCCTCCACGCCAGTTGGGAAAGGCACAACAACCAAAACACTTCCACTGTGCTTTTGCTTCAGCAAATATAACAAACAAAATGACCAGCCGGAAGTGTCCGTTGGAGAAGGGAACCCGAATCTTGTAACAAACAAACAATTTCTCGATAATACTTTCTCTTATTTTATTAAGAAAATTATCGATCAAGTCCGTGCACGCGTTTTTACAGATGATGCAAACAATGGAAATATAACTGACGAATCTTTTACTCGTGATTCTTCATTCTGCAAGTGTGAAAATACGGATGACTTGTGACCGACTTTTTTCGCACAGTTTGTCATGCTCATTTCCTGCTCAGAAATCGGACATGAAAATTATTGGACAGGCTGCCTTTGTTACTTTCCGATGTGAAATAGATAATGTGATAATATGGCCCAGTTCACCCTATCTTGGTAACAAATATTTGGTAAAGTTTCGCATGTGTCATGGATGCCTTGTGTCTGGAATATTACCCAATCAGAACGACAGACTTGCGAAAGCAGCTGACATTGGGAGACTTGGTTCAGCTTACATTTCTGATATGTTTTCAAACTATAAAGAAGTCGTTTGTGATTTAAGTCGTGAATCATGCGAGGATGCATTTTTAGAAGAAATTGTGACATACCCGAACATGGATGAAATTGACATTCTTACTGACACTCGCCATGCCACATGGAAAAACTCTGGTTTAAAGGTATTGTTTGCATTGGAGCTAAAAACTCACAAAGCTATCAGGACGGAAACTGTACCAAAAGTAGACAATGTCTGCACACAAAAAAACACGAACTTATTGGAACTCAGTGTATTTATGAATATCTTGATAGTGTTGACAATGGTGTCGGAGTACCTGTGAAATTACATGACAGGAATCCGGTCATCAATAAGATTATCGGGAACAAGCGGCCTGCTACAACGTCAACAAATGACACATGGCATACTACGAAAAATGTTACAAAGGAAGTTAAATATGTGTGTTTGGGTCCCAAATACAAAGAGGGTGTGACGTGGCATATCGCGAATTATCGGACAAAGTAAAAGTATCTCATTTTTATT